TGAACTGCCTCTGGGACTTCGGCTCCAGATTTTTCCTCGAGGTTAACTCCTGAAGCTGTTTCCATCAGTGGATATAGCCACAAGACAGTGGAGTTTTGGAATCAGAGATTTCCTTCTCCTAGATAGGCTGCCTTCCAAGGCTGACGAGCCCCATCTATCTGGGATGGCCACTCTCATGGCTTCTCCAAAGGGATGAAGAAGCTGGAGAGCAGTTCCCCCAGAACATCTTTGCTCTTTGGCTGCCAAAAGTTTATTTCTCTGTCATTGCACCTTGAGTTCCCCCCCAAGAGGGGGAAGGTGCACCGTTCCTAGAGGCACTGCAATACTAGGTTCATGCACGGAGTGGACAGAGCACAGTGCCCGTGCGCATACGCAAACGGCAGTGCATGCTCATGCGGGCATGCCAGAGCACGTGCGCAAATGGGTGGCACAGGGGTGAGTGCACATGGGGGGGGGCGGCAGGAGATCTCTCTCGGCAGTCCGGTCTGGCCCACGCCACGGACCGGCACCAGGCCACGGGTTGGGGAGCGCTACTCTAACTGTTGGAGCGAAAGAGCTACAAAGCTCTTTGCCAACCAACAGTTAGTACAGTACTCTAATCTGAATTCCCTGCCTTTTTCCCCTGCCTCTTTTGTTTGCAACTCGAAGCTCTGGCCACATGTCGAAGCAAAATTTTGTGGCCGGAGCTGGTCGCAGCTCAAAATGGTCATTATCGGGACAGTCATAAGTCGAGGCACCACTGTATAGTTGCTGTCATCTGCTGTCAAGTTAGAACACAAATCAGAAGACGTCTGAGACTGGGAAAGGCAGCAATGAAGGAATTAGAAAAGATCATCAAGTGTAAGCATGTGTCACTGGAGACCAAGGCCAATGGAGACCAAGGCGAAGATCATTCAGACTATTGCATTCTCAAATACTATGCACAGGTGGAAAATAGGAGGGCCTGCTGTGCTCTGGTCCATGGGGTCACGAAGAGTCGGACACGACTAAACGACTGAACACACATGCACAGATGTGAATGTTGGACAGTGAAGAAAAATAACAGGGGAAAAGAATAATTCATTTGAAATATGGTGCTGGAGGAGAGCGAGGATTGCTCTGTAGATAGATATCTTGGATTGCCAGAAAGACGATCAAAGTGGGTCATAGAGCAAATCAAACCTGAAAAGGCGGAGTGGCTACCGGAGCAACGCCGTGGGGATCTGCGCCGGGGTTAAGAAAGAAAGAAAGAAAGAAAGAAAGAAAGAAAGAAAGAAAGAAAAGGGAAAAGCCTCCTCCCAGCAGGCGACCTCTCTCTCTCCCGCCTGGCGCTCGCCTTCGGCTACCTACCCGCAGCGCCGCTTCCTTCTTCTTCCCCTCGCCCTCCCCGGGGGTGACGAAAGGACCCTCCAGGTTGTCATGAGGGAGGCCGTTTTCCTCTCCGGCCGACTCGCCGCGGGTGCCCTCGAGGAGGCAGGCGAGAACGGCCGAGAGGAGCCACGGCCCCAGCTTCATGAGGAGCCGGCCACCGAGGCTTCGGCCCGGCTTCCTGAGTCTCGGGGGCGCGCCGGAGGTTTCATTTTCCTTTCTCTTCGCAGGCCCCTCCTCCTCCGGCCTCGACCCCGGCACCCAAGGCGAGCCTCAGGCGAGGCTTTTCCTTCTTGGCAGGCGCGGGAAGGGCGGCGGCGCGCTCCGAGAGCCTCGACAGGCGCTGGGCTAGGGGGCGAGCCCCGTAGCGTTTGTGGGCTGTAGTTCAAAAAAGTAACTTTCCCAAGCTCTCAGGAACAGCATGGATGTTCCATTTTCTAGCTCTGTTGGCAATAAATTGGCCACTCTGCACCCCTTCTCATAGAATACTGATTCCTAATCCCCGTGCCCTCTACTAAGCACTAGAGTTCTCTCCCTGCCATGTTACTCCCCGTTGACACGATTTTACTATTTCTTTACATGGTGCCACAGGATGCTTTATACAGGGTACAATAAGAGGTGTCGTCCCAGATGAGGTTACAAACCTGGAAGGCAGAGGAAGGCAGGTTTCACAGTTCCCTTGAAAATCAGGGCAATAGTCTAAATTAGGTAAATGACAACTGGAGATGGAGCAATATTTATTTTATACATCATCATGATGACTAAAAGTTATTGTGAAAAAAGGCAGGCCACAGAATAATTCACTGAAGGAAACCTACTTGATCTCTGCCCATATTGGCTGTTAAAAAGAGCTATGTTAATCTTAAACCTAAAGATTCAGTATTTAATATCTTAGATACTGTACTCTGCTATATCAAATCTTAGTGATTCACGCTATTTGGTAATCATATTTATTTAAAGAGGTATCACTTTTTTGTCCAAGAGGGCACAATTCTGAACTTAACTGTCTCAGTTTAGGTCATACCTAGTTGGTATGATCCTGTATTCTGCAGAACAGCAATTGCCAAGGGGATCTGGTACATTTTTCTTGGGGGAGGGGATCTGTTTGCATCCAGTCACAACCAATTGTGTGAGTGGACATACAATGGACACCCCTAAAAAATGAAGAAAACTGCAAGCAAGTGCTATTCATTTGGTTCAAGCAGTTGTAAAGCACCCCTGCTGAAGACTCTTGTTCTGACTTTTGAGGGGAGCATGCCCTGAGGGCACAAATGCCAGCTATCAAATATTAAATAATTACTGTAATTTTAAAATTGAGTTTTAAAATGATCATTTAAAAAGTAGCTAGATGCATATTGGATATATGTAAAGAACTCCCCCCTCAATAGTTATCATGCCAAATTTAGCTTAATTTGCATATGTTCAAACATATGCAAATTAGAAAAAGGAAAGGATTTTGATGTGTGAAAAGAAGCCACCATCTCATGCTTGGCTTCTTATTAGCTTCACATTAATTCCTCTTTGAGCTTGAACTTTCTAGTCTGTGCTTCTGATGTTCCAAGCTGGCAGCTTCTGATATTGGCTGCAGTCCAGCATGGTTGAAACCCAATGAATTTAGGTAGGCTTTAGCATGCCTAACTCTAATGTTGGGTTGTGGCTCTTATTTGCACTTGGAAATCAATTTCCAGATTTTAAAACAATATGCATATTTAGCTTTATTTATTATTGTTTCATATTTGTATAAACTGTGAATTTGCTAGCATAGTACCTATAAGTGGCAATGCTGTTTGCAAACACTGAAAGTTTACTACAGTTTGATGTATGTACTTATTATTTTTATTAGTTACATACATACATAGCCTTTCCTCCAATGAACCTGGGACAGCACACGTGGCTCTCCTACCCATTTTATTGGCACGGCATTGAGATCATTCATGAGAGGAAGAATGATTTGCCTTTTATACAAGCTGATCTAATGTTGTAGATTGTGTAGTTAAGTAAAAGTATCAACGGCTGTTCCCATTGTACCTTTCTTCCTAGTGGATTGAATGTCCATCTTTGTAAGTTTTTAATGTATTTTTCACATGAAGAGCAAAAGTGCTTGGGAAAAAAACCTGATTTCCATTAATTATTACCATGTATTTGAATAAAGTGTTGAAGCCCAGGATCCATACAAATCTGTATAATCTATGTGTCCATACCATTTTTTAAGATCCAGAGTGATACTTTGCAGATGAATGGCAGATTTAGTTTTTTTACATATAGTTTCGGTTTTGCAAAACAGCCAAATGAAACACTTTGAATGATACAGAATTTTTTGCTGATCCTCTGTTTATCTACTATTTCCCACCCATCCCCAACCAGTAAATAAAGAGGTGAGACACAGAAAACTGGTTCAAACAGAAATTCTTTCTGATCTCTGTTTATGTACTATTGCATCTGTGTAACCCATGGTTCTAATATTAAAAGGTACAGTTTTTCTAACTTACCTAGAGAAAGGCCATTCCGTACGTAGAATTAATTTTCCTACCAGACACTTGGGGGCAGCAATGTACCTTCAATCATTCATGGGTAAGAAGGCTGTTCCAGAATAAATTGCAGCACAGGAATACAAGAATTCCAGGCTAAATCACAAATTAAATGGAAGATCTAGGATAAAAACAGTGTTCCTGTGTACTGAGGCCTAAATATGAAGTGAAGAGGTGTATCAAATTCATTTTGCTTATGGGAATGAGGAGATAACTTTACGAGTAAAGCTAGTGCTGAGCTTTGCACCCAGAATGTTTTGAAATACTGTATTAGCAAAGAAAATAATATAGTAATAGAATTGTGTTGACTGCATGAGAAAAGTAGACTTATCGCTCAGCACACTTGAAGAGACTAACACAGGGTTTCCTGTCATTTTCCAAGGAGATATTTATCAACATTGTGTAGGCAGATAAATGAAGGACTCCCATGCTTTTTCAGCCAAAGGAGGCCAATTTGTTTTCTCTTGAAATGGCATGGGCCAGTTCGGCCCCTGCTAACTTGATGTGTTGAGTTCAGTATTGTGTAGTTTTTGACATCTGACCAAGACTACTGAAACATTTGTATCAGTTGCCAAAAACTAATCTAGGTTATGTGTGACTGGCTGAAAATTATTAACTGGCATGAGCTAAAACTGCTCAAGCATTAGTAGGCTGCACACATTATTTAGTGTAACCATACTTACTTTGATCAGTATCTTTGAAAAGTACTTGAGAGAAAAATTGAAAGGATGGAGCATGGGATGAATTAAATTTTCAGCAAGAGAATGAGAAGGTTAGATATTGATTCAAATGTAGATGTATAAAAAGTTACTATCCTTTTAAGTAGCTGTGGCTTTGTAATTACCAATAAGGCAGTCAAACTCATAGGATCTTGAATGCAATATTACATGCCTGCTTATTCAGTTCTCTTTATAAAAACATTTTAAATGTGTTTGCTTGGGAATTTAGGGTGGCAGCTTTGGACCATCCAGAAGCTATTTTACAGGAATCATTAGGATCCAATACAATGAGGTCCATGCTTTCCATAGCTACCTGGAAACCCATAATCAGCATCGAAGAAATATCACAGTATTGTTTATTTATATGTTTGTATTGAATACATATCTTGCCTTTGTACTACACACATTGTGTAATTTCAGTGAAATTTGAAGAGTTGAGAGAAAACTGGGGGAGGGATCCTGTTTTCTCCTTTCAATGACTTCTTTCTATACAAGATTTTTCCCCTCATGAAAGCTCATAGGAACTCTCATGGCATTTTTCAGATGTTTCACAGTCATTTTTTTTTTCTGGAAAGAATGCCAAGCTCCACAAGATTGTTATGATTCCTACACAGAATGGCATCTCTTTAGTGTGAGATGGGCTGGAAAGTGTAGCAAACTGTGCTGGATTTGGCATCTCCATACTTAGTGAAAAGCAAGGGTCTTGCTTTTGTGGGAAGTCACAAAAGTGGGTGGGGTGGTCTGATCTCCACTTTTGAGATGACATAATTCTCAAACTCCAAAAAAAAAAAAAAATCCATTGTAGTCTGATGTAAACCCCAGTGCTGCTTGCTGAACTAAAATTTTGCTATTACTCCTTATTTGTGGCATATAAAATCCCAACGTCAACATTACTGCCGCAAATGATTTTTTTTTTTAGAATGAAAATAAATAAACGTAAGCAAAACTTTTGATGAGGAGTTTTCAAATTATTTCATGCATAACCACCTACTATTTCTTGCCAAAAGAGACAAATGAGTAAAGTGACCCTTGGGACATCTTCAGCTCCTCATTTCTATGGTTCAGTTACTGTGCTCTCAGCTAAGTCCCATTTTTATTTGCAATTAATTATTTAGATTGTATCCATATATTAATATTTAGGTAAGGTTAATAAAATTCCATCTCCTGCAGAGAGTTCAGAGTTAGCAATATGGATTAAAAATTGGACATCAAGAATGAAAAGCAAAATTTTTACTATACCAAAAGATAGAATGTCACAAGACACAAATATTTTGTTGAAAATCCTGAACATAATTCTTTTACTAATTTGAACTTTAAAATCCTTGAAATGTACAATGTGTTAATTTATTGTGCATGTAATTCAATGTGCTGAAAAATGTATCCATATTTATTGATTTGTTTGATTTTGATTTTGGGTATTGTCTAGGTAATTTTCAGATACATTTTTACTATTTTATTCTACAAATATATTTAACTGTGTTTTTATAATAACATGAAACTGTTAGACTGTCACAGCTGCTGTGAAATGTATTATTTAGCTGCATATCCTAAATATGAATATTTAATATGAATATTTAAGGCAGCCTTATAAAATTCCATCTTCAGGAAGGTCCAGAGATGTTCCTTCCTTCCTTCCTTCCTTCCTTCCTTCCTTCCTTCCTTTCTTTCTTTCTTTCTTTCTTTCTTTCTTTCTTTCTTTGTAGTGGCCTCTGTGAATGCACACAAATGGGTTTCCTCTGTGCCTGCGCAGGATGTTTCGGAAGATTCTAGAGCTTTAAAAAAAGATTGAGAATGAGATATTCCCCCCCCCCGGGCGCAAGTTCCGCCTCCTCAACCTTCCTCTCAGTTCCTTTTTTTCTGCCACTCGGTTAGGACGTTAGGAACAGTAGAACTTCAGTGAAAGGAAAGTAAACCTGTATTTCTTCACAAAATCTTATTTCTTTTTAGCAATTAGATCATCTAGATTCTTTTAGTTTCTTCCCTTACCGATTGATACTTTAAATCGCCCGTATACAACTGTTTTTTGCTTTCCCGACTTTTTTACCCCCTTTTCC